TTTGTAAAACTTGGCCTATCTGAATTGAAAATATCAGTCGACTCCCTGTGTTTGATTATCGTTGTCTCCGAAGGATTGCTGATACTCAGTGACAACATCATTTTAGTAATGCAGATGTTCAGCAACGTATGTTTGGGCACAGTGACATGGTTCAGAACAGAAGTCAGTGACAGTCCTGCTGTAACTTTTTTTCACTTCGTTCCTAAAAGTGAGAGTAACTTCTTTGACTGGAAGAATACTTTTTTTATTGGTTTACTCATTTCGACTCATTTGTTTCTTTATTGAGCTCTCCACTATCTCCTCACAACCTTATTTTCTTATCGTGTGGTGCATATTTACTTTGGCGCCCCTTTATACCAATATTTGTGTGTTTAGATAATAATATGCATATATAAGAGACCTCGTTGTTTAACTTAGATTTCTAATCTTTTACTTTGTGCAGATAATGTTAACAATTGGCTGTTTGACGAAATAATTCATCCGTCTTTTAATTTGTTATTATACAAACTATTATTTATGGAATGATCTCTAAGGAATTCAAGATTTCCCTCTGTTATCCTAATTTCTTTGGATAATTAAATTAAAACTAAACAATCATTTCACCATTTATTTGATATTTTATCATAATTTTCTAAAAACTTGTGTATATCAGTGACATGGTGAGAGGGTGGGGGGCACTTGATAGGGAAATATTTATTTCAAAGCAGAAAAATTTAGTTATTTTATTAAAGGAATAAAAGTTTTAGGATTCTAGTTGTTTTTTTTTCTTCAGCCAATGATTAATGAAATGGCATTAATAATTAATTTCTCTGATTCCTTCTACACTAAATATACTCCTTGGTCAACAGGTTCCAGGTACCTATGATTCTTCCTCATAGTCCGTGTTTATCTTATCTAAAAATCTATTTCTGTTACTTTTACTTCCCTGGTTAAGTTCCAATCTCTCTAGGTTAGTTTTGACTATACTATAAGAACAATGACTGTAAATGCTTATAGTCATTCGGAATTTACGAACTTATATATGTGGGTTACTCGATTGTTTTTATTAATGGTCATTAATGTGCACATTACCAAAGAATGCAATACTGTGCAAATTTTTTAAACAAATATACACATTATCCTCTTTTATAACTGGTGAATATTTTCCTTTATTCAACTTTCTACTTTTTTCTATTCCAAACCTGTTATATTGTTGGTTATTTGGTACGAACACAAATCTGATGTGTCCTGCTATTTTTGTTTTCAATCTCTACTGATTATTATGATGGTTTAAACTATTATCAGTTTCAGTTTGGAAAGGATAGGCGGCTTGATGGCCTGTGTTAGTCCTGGCTTTGTTCTTGATTTTTCTTTTTAACAAATAACACTTGAATAATTTAAAATTAAAACACGAAGTTCAGTGAAGGGATCTCTTTTCAACGAATTTATTATCAAGCTGTACAATCGTATATATATGAAATTTTTTTTGTTTTTTGTAAAAGTACTAATTCCATGAGGAAATGTGAACACAATTAACCATGACGTAATAAAAAGATTATAATACTAGATTACGTAATACGAATAATAACAATAGATTTAGTGAATATAATAGGATGATTTAAATGTTTCTGTTATAATAATTTAAGTTCACAGAGGTATAAGAAATAAATAAAGTGATATGATGAGCATTTACGAATAAAATAATGAGAATATAAGACAGATGCAGTAAAAAATAATAATAATAGGATAATCAAAATAAGTAAGGCCAAGGTAACGATAATGATAAGACGTACTTCTTTTCTACTCATAGTTCTGGTTTAAGCTACTGGATGGTAAAAGCTTCGGCTATTTTTAAGAGTTGGATACGAAGAAATCTGGATAGATTTGAATGAATCATATAAACAACCTTAAAATCAAATTGTGGATCTGTAGACTGGTTACAGTCAATTAGATGTTCAAGTATAGAACTCCTAACTGCTTTCCATTCACCCTTATAGAACCAAGCTGAGATATGTTCCCGTATCCGAGTTGAATAATTTTATTAGTGTGTTGTATTCAATCATCTTTGATTAATTAACTTTTGAATAATATATCTATTTTTATTCTTATTCCTTTATGAATTCTTTTTAATTATGCATAAAGATTATATGTATCATATTACAAAATTTTTTAAATGTTTCCACTTCCTTAATTAATCGGGTTATATACAAAATGATACGATAATAATGTGGTTTATTATTAATTGACAATTTCGTTCAATTTGTTTAGAACTTCTAGACTTAAATAAAATAATCCTAATTTTGTCTAGTTTTGTTGTTTTTTTCCAAATATAGTTACTTTCTTATTTTTAATCTGATTTTGTTCTTTAATTGAACTATAATTAAGTTTTTATTTATATGTAGGTGTCATTACCAAGGTTTGATTTGATAATTTCGAATAAATTGAGCATTGGGTTGATTGTTATAAATGGAAATAATATATTTGTAATATCCCAATGAGTAGAAAATTGGATTTTTCTGACGTTTCGTGGCTTAGTGTAAGTCACTTCTTCAGAGAATAAATAACCAAATTAAATTAATCCAAGTTTAAATAGTACAACGGAACAATGCAAGAATAATATTTGATCAATCAAAAACAGGTCTGAACAAGTTGATGTCATGTCATTTCTGTCAAGGTGATTCATAAGTTATAAGTATGTAAATTTGTGTGTGTATGTATGTGTGCATTGTTTAAGAATGAACACTTGTGTGACCTGTATGGTAAGAAAGGATAGAGTTTAAATTTGTAATATGAAAGTGTGAAATTGTAAATACGATCAGACTGAATGGTTAGGATAGATGATCCAAGTAGGATGTATGGTAAGGCCTTCTTTTCTATTGAGAGAAGTAGGATTAAGCATTATATGGAACGCCTCGGCTACCCTCCTTTCTTTGTAGTTAGAAAAGCCTTTTGCAATATTTTGATATTTTTAAAATCGATTTGGTGGTTGTTGAAAATGGCATGAACTGCTATTGCCGATTTAATTTGAAGCTGGTTCAATTCTACCGGATTGTTAGGAGGTTTCTTTGTGTACCTAATATGTTCTTTGGCTCTAGCCACGATTTCGCGGGATGACTCTCCAATATAATAGGCATCACAATCGATACAACCTAATTTGTAGACGCAGTTCTGTGTGGACATGAAAGGGATTTTTTCTTTCAGGTGAACTAAAGTATTACGTAGTGTGTTCGTTGTTTTGTAATACACTTTAATGCTGTGATGTTTTAAGATTCTTTGAATTTCTTCTGTTGTGCCATGACGGTATGGTAGGACTACAGTGCCAATCCAAGGCATTTCATTCGAATCATTATTATAATGTAATAAACTGTTTTGTTTTAATATGCTTCTAATAATCTTCATAGGAAAATTATTAAATTGTAAGATGCTAATTATATTCATTTGTTCTTTTTGTTTGTCTTCCTCTGATGTGATGATCTTGTTAGCTCTTCTAAAAAGATTTAAGGCTAGCGAGATCTTAGCACTGAAAGGATGTGCTGAATGGAAGTCAATATAACGATTTGAATGCATCGGCTTTCGGTAAATGGATAGGTTTAGACTTCCATTTGGATTTCTTTTTACTAAGCAGTCCAAGAATGGTAGCTCACCATGTGCATTTTCATTTTCATTCGTGAATTTGATGTGCGATGAAAGTGTATTAATTCGTTTTGAAAAAGATCTTAGATGAGTCTTTTTATAACAACAAATGTATCGTCTACATATCTAAGCCAAATTCGTGGTATAATGTTGTGGGCGAAGATATTTGATTCTATGTATGCCATAAAAAGGTTGGCTACAATCGGGGACACGGGGGATCCCATAGCTACACCGTTAGTTTGTTTGAATAAAATACCGTTAAAAGTAAAAAGCGTTGAATTTAAGCAAAGTTTTAAGGATTTCATGATTAGATTGATGCTCAACGGACATCTGTCAGGAAGAGTATTGTCGTTCTCAAGTAAACCACTAATGAATTCTAAGCATTTATCAATGGGAACACTTGTGTATAAAGAAACGACATCAAAGCTTACCATGATTTCATTCTTCTCGATGATTAATTCGGATAATTTTGATTTAAAGTCATATGTGTCTTTAATTATATTATGTAAGTTGAGTTGTAATGGTTTTAATATATTGCTTAAATATTTCGATAGTGCATATGTTGGGGTGTTTGTGAAGTCTACTATTGGTCTTAAAGGAATATCTGGTTTATGAATTTTTGGTTTTTGTTGTTTTGATTAAAGCAGAAGGTCGATAATGATCCTGATCTTGTATATTCCCTATGATACCATGACCTCAATTGAAGTGCCTTATGAACTTGAAGGGAAATATTTTCTTCATTGGGTTGAACTTTTTTCAAGCTTCATAAAAAGGTATTAATAGCTCATTTCGTACACACACACTGGACATACTAGGTAGGAAGAATAATATCACATTCTATCTTTGTTTAACAATTGTACGTAGTGTATCAGTATTTAATATGTTTACTTATAGTGATAGCTTCAATGTGTAAGTGACTAGTATTGCACTCTTGAAAAATTATTAACTCTGTTGAAACTAATCCACCATGTATTTGACATTTAAGATCTTAATATGGGCGTACTGTCATTAATGCTTACAGTTTAAATTTAAGGTGATGATTATTGTTTCCGTCATGATCATAAAATGTAATGTCAGTAGTTTTCATCTGTTATTTTATGCCTAGTGAAAATACTTTAACTACCTGAAATGTTTCATTGACAATGCGTTGAGTATTAGAGTTTGACAAGTCCCCATATAGATTTCAACAATTTATTCTTCATGAATCATGTACTCCTGTTATTTTCTAAAAAATACAATATATTTATAAAATTGTACTGTTTGTTTTCAGTGTAGGATTTATTGTTAGATGCTTAGTACAGTAACATACAGGTTCAGTTTTCGTTAATAAAGTTGTGAAAGTAATATATTTCTTTGGATTCTCTTTATTTTCTTTTTTGCTGCTTCAGACTAAAGCTTATGGCTCACGACACATACATTTGGGTCTTACTCATCAAGGTGTAGCTGAATTTATAGGCAACCGGCGCCAAAAGTTATATCCATGGTAGATTATCTCTAGTTTTATCATTATTATGTTTTTGAATTATTTTATTGATTTCTAGGATGCATGATTTTGCATAATCATCCAATTCATTGGTTTTATTGTAAATAGTGAATAGATTGATTTTTATATATGAACAAAAAACAAAAACAAACAGATAATCTAACTAATATATTTGTTATAACGCTCAGTTTTGCACGTCTACACGAAATGGACGTTAATTTGCCTTAGACAAATATCTGCACTAGATTCCGTCCCAGTGTCTGTTCTACAAAATTTCAACACAACTCGGGTCAATAACACGTGATATATTTCCACACTAAAATACCGACAACAATCAGACATAATCCAACAAAAATCACAGTAATAATAAGGACAGGAGAATATATAACTCATCTAACGCCTGTCAAACTATCTACAAGTCTGACTAAGGAAACAACCAATCATTCTCGCCCACACATCGATGTTACATGTCGAAATGAATGTTCTGTACACAAAAGCATTAGCATTAAACGAAAACAGAGATACGTGATAGGTAGCAGTGGAATTCCGGACGCACGTTTCGTCCTCTTCGGTACTCGTCATCCGAACGTGCCTGCATCTGAGGGTTGATGTTCACTCTAGGACTCGAACTAGAAGTAGGATTAGTAGTTACAAAAAAAGACTGAAAACTTCTACATTTCACCTGCCTCTATAACGAATAGTATCTTTAGATTTGCTTTACACCGAGCATCCAGTCATTAGGAATTTATCCTCCTCGTCCGTATTTCTGGTGAAGTAATTGTAATATCACCATTTATCATCCACTTAACAAAAGCACTAATGGGAAATCGTAAATAAAAGTTTGATTCTTTTGTTCTCGTGTACATTTTTCGTGAATGAGAAATTAAATTAGTGTGATATCTCGAATAAATTTTCTTTTATTGTCATCTTTTGATCGTTTTGTTGATTGAACTACAGTTTACTTGTTCCTTGAAGTTCTCAGTCGTATCTGTAACAGATGTTAGCGTAATATTTATCTGTGAACTAGCTTAAAATAATGGTTTACTCATTCCCATAATTCTCATTTTCAACATCAAAAATATTATTAATTATTAAAGTGAATAGATTCATATCTGTGTCGTTGTAGTGAACGAGAACACAAGTGGGGACAGAATCTTTTAGTAAAATCTGAGAACCATATAGTAAATACTTCATTTGCAAAATGTCCATCAATTGTCTCGAACTTTATTGTTCCTTCATTTCCACATCAATTACTCTGTTCCCGTTCTCTTCTGTTCGATCTTCTCAACCTTCTGCCTCCAGGCATTCCACTTTCAATTGTTGATACATACTACTTATAACTGCCAGCATTAGTGGCACAAACCACATCATGTCGTGGGTTAAGTAGAACTAACTAAAATGATTTAGATTCATTCGTTTCATGTTTACCTAGTATATACTTTATAATAGAAAATATCCTCCCTCTTTTAATTAAGGCATTATTCTTAAGAAAAATCTCAGAAAATATTTTTCAAAAATGTCTTATTTCCAACGAGAAGTTGCATTTTATTATTAGTTTTATATCATGTTTGTAAACATTTTGTTTTGTATCTGTCGAACATCGTTTTCATTAAAACTTTTTGTTGGTCTTGTAAATTATGTGTCGATCTACAATAATTCTTTTACTGATCATCAATATTTTATATTTTACTTTCAGGTCAGCTATCTCTTGGATGACTTGTAATGGCAGAGATTTTGTTGTTGCAACTTCATATCAAGTAAGTTTCTTCATTTTATTATTTCTATTTTTTCTATTTTTTATTGTCGATCTCATAGGACCACTGCTTTCACGATAAGGATGTTAACCGAGAAATTTATTTATTATTTTAACTGTCTTCAAGTTATGCACTATGTAGAACTCATAAACTAATTCTGATGTGATTAAACTTCATTCTTAGTTTCTATGTGTTAAATAATAGTGAAAGCAATGTTACGCATTACGATATATATATATATATATATATATATATATATATATAATGCTATTTGTTTTAATCTAATTTGAGTGATAACTTCGTGGGTTGGATAATGGTCTTCTCATAAGTAGATTTCAAGTCTTAGGAATCTTCCTGTACATCAACATAAAATAACTTTATGCTGTCAAGCGTACTTCCTGACCATTATAGGTTTTCGTGTGTTTGTCACGTAAACACAAAGGTGATAAAATACTGACCGTTTTGTCGGAAAAGTTTTTCATTTTCATAGTGTTACTTTTCTTCTTGTCTTAATGTTTATTGCTAATCTTATCTTGTTTGATCTACTAAGCACTTATTCCGCCGTTGACTAGTTTTGTTAACAGTAGATCACGATAAAACACCCTTTTTTAATCTATTTATTAACCTGAACTGTGAATTGTTGGACATCTCCATCACTTAAAAGCTGTTAAAATGGGGAGAGTTTTAGATTCGATTTTTAACTGGATGTCATTATTCACCTGAGAAACTCGCTTGACTTATATTTCTCTAACTTTTGTTATTAATTTGCTTGGAAACTACCAATTTTCCTAGTTTGTGTACAGTCCCTAATTGTAACATTTTCTGATCAGTATAGTTATAAATAGTCTACTTACCAGTCTTTGACATGGTCATAGCAGTTAGTGTTCAATAATATTCAGTAAAAATTCAGACCAGAAAATTATCAATTTACTTATGTATTTATGATCTTTGTTCGAAATTAGAGTAGTAGATTGGTTAAAGGTTTCTATTCAATATTATCCTATTACATAGCTATCCATTCACCCAAGATATAATGAGACATAATACATGTATCTATAGTGACTATCAGCTAGATGTCATGGATTTATCAGTATTCAAAAAAGTCTATACAATTTCCTGTGTTTTTTTCAATGATAGGTAATTTTTCCAGTCCAGCATATCAGTATCAAGTTTCTTTGCGTATTGTGTTCCTATAGATTTGCATTTTCTATAAAATTAATTTGTTCAACAACCTTTGTAAAATAAATAATTGTGTTCAGTGTTAAATTCTCAAGTTCCAGTTCTTAAGAAATCATAGGGAAATTAGTAATTAAAAACACTTTATTATAACATGAACAAAGACTGACTAGTGCATTTTTACGATCGCATATACAGTTTCGATCACCGAAATTACATACATGTTAGTCAGTACTCTTATCTTATCTTTTTGGTATTCTTGGTTGTTGATAATTTTTTCTCTGTCCTGTCGTTCGAGTTAGCGACAACTTGAATAGGAAGCACAATGAGTTAATAATTGAAGTTAATATTTGTTTTATGATAGGTAATTTTCCTTATATTTCAATTTTATTTTGTTTGACATTTTAATAGCATCCTGGACGAAAGAAAAAGGTAACTAACTTTACTGGTCATTTTATTTTGTTTGAATGTATGACCTTAATAATGGAATCATGGAATGTATATATTATAAGGTTGTCATACGTGAGCTGTACATAAGTAAATGTTGTGTAAAGATATTGGAATGTCTCATTCACTTTAATAGTTTTATGTCAAATACTTGATAAAAGCATGAGTATTATAAAAATATGAACAGAACCCTTTCTTTATTGCTTTTTTTCAAACTGTTCTTTACATAGATTGCTATCCATAGTTCAAAACTCTACGATAGCTAGATAAAAAAACTACTCACCTGTTAAACTTTCAATTTTCTTCCCTTTATTAATAATGATAATAATAATTTATATTATCCTGGAACCACTACCTTCTAATCACATTCATAAGTATGGTTGCATTGGTCCACAAAAACATCTGCAAGTCAGTTCATTGCATTGACAATTTTTTTATTAGATAGCTTGAAATCACTGAAAAAAATGAATTCATTTTTAATGATTGTCTTTGCTGACATGACTGAAAGCTTACTTCTTTTAATAACCATTCCCCTTCATCATATGTTGCATACAATTGCACGTCAGATTTTTCCAACAAAGCTTTCAGTACTTTGTAGATAATCAGTTATAACAACATTTCCAAAACAAAATTATTTATATACCGTTGCGATAATAAACATCTTGTCGCAACTTATGCTCTGTGGCACACTGATATTATGAATTCATAAATTGAGCAATAGTTCAAAGGGTATATTTGTTTGTGTCTAGACTGAATGCTTGAAACGATATATTTAAACTGAACTATCACAACGGTTCTTTTTTGTTTTAATTCATACACAAAATTACTTCGTAACTTTCTTGTTGAAAAGGTGATATAGAAAGTTTTCTCTCGTATCTTTTTATATTTTCCTTCTTTCAAACTATCCTAGTGCATCTGTTGTTGTTGTTGTATGCAAGATTTCTTTTGTCATCATAAAATAATTGCTTACACTAAGTAAGTTCTATAAAATTGTTATGGCGAGTGAATTTGCAGTGTTTCACTTACATTTTATGTGCTTTTTAGTTGGTAGTTTTCTTGTTTGCTTTTTCTTTCAACGAGGAAAAATATCCTCTTCGATCAACTGTTTGTTTGTATACAAAATCAAATTCAACCTTCTTGAAATATCATTGTTTTCATTTGATTGATCGATTGATTTACCCATTGATGAAAATTTTTTTAAACTAAAAAATTGTTTATGTAATTCATTGAAAGTAGTATACTGTCGTCTGAATTTGAACAACACAGTTAAAAGAAAATCTACAGGATAGCTGAACACTGCTACGTTTTTTCCTGTTGTTATTGATTTTGTAGGTATGCGCATGTGTGATCATAGCAAATGACAACTTTTATGCTGATGGGCGTTACTAATTATTATTATTACTTGTGCTCTGTTTTAAAATTATGTATTTCATTGCAGCTTATTTAAAGTGAGGGCAATTTTCTCTTCGTTTTGTGTTTGCTTAGATATTTGCGTTTTTCTTTACTAATGTCGTTGTTAAAAAAATAGTACGTTCATTTAATGTAAAGTCTTAGCTTCCTTAATTATTATTATTATTACTATTATTATTATTGTTCAATTGTCTATTTCTCTTGCTTTTTCTGAAATCTTTATGTGCTTCGATTAACGCTAACAGACAATAACAACTATTCATTATAAATGCGATAATAAGTCTGTTGCACAAGCTTTATGGGAATGGGCATCAGATCGACAATTGTTTTTCACGTACGTAGTATGTTTAATATCAATCAGATTTTTACACATTTTAAACTTCTATATGCGTGTATATATTCTAATGTTTATTGTTTTGATTTTAATGTATTATCACATAAGTAGTTGGTGTGAATATCCTCTATGTTATTTAATTTTTAATAATCTGCCTGTCTTTTTTCTTAATGCTATTGACTGTATAACAAATGTTAAGTGAACCTTATGTAGGTCGATTAAAAATTAGTTCAGAAATAGTAGTGTGAATTGAAACAACACAGAAAAAAGAGATTCTAAACCACTGTTTCTTCTTACCATGGGACTTCACAGTAGTGCGTATCTAAGACTCCATTAAGCTACCTAACCCAGGACCATATTTCATACTTAACCATTAGACTGGTGAACCTGTATCCAGTGGTTTACATGTTTGACTTCAATCAATTCACGTTATTGCTCAGCCATTATATGCTTATTAACAATATTGCAAAGTGGTTGGATTTAAGCATGTAAACCGTTAGATATTGACTTGTTATTCTGAAGTTTAAGAGCTTGACCTAAAACCTCAGTGTATTGTCCACTACAAAGTAAAAAGACTAAGTGATAGGAGTCGAATAAATATTTTGAATACCTAAATTTAAAAATTATAACTCCGAAATAAATAATCATATTAGTGCGGTTTTTGTATAACCATCCCAATAAATACCATAGGTCAATTATCAGTAAAAACGATGTATTTTTGCTTTGTGATTTAAAACTACATCTGATTTAAAGAATCTTAGTTCAATCAGATTACTAATGAAAGTGTAATTCATAGTATAACTCGGGAATATAAAGCATTTGATTTTTATATTCTTATGTGGTCCAAATACACCTATCCGGGAATCAGTAGTCACTTGTTTTTTTAAACTTAAAACAAATTGATGTATGTTGGATCATCTACTGTTCTGAGAGGGGGGGGTGTAATAATCTTCGAATATGTAGTTAATACATACACCTCAGGATCAGATCGATTATCAGGTGGTGTCATTTGTTAACTTTTAGTGTAAACTTATATACAACAATCGTATGTTTAGTGTGATGATAGTCCTTAACTGCGACTATTTGTACCTCGTAGTCATAACTGGACAAAAGTTTGATAGTAACAACTTTTCATAACTATGGGACTATTGTTACTTGCTGGTTGTCATAACCAAACAAATATTGGCACAGCTTGACTCAAGGGAAGAAGGTAAGACTGTTAATAACGATTTTATTATGCACCAACAATGAATCCACAATTGATAAAAAATACACTAGGTTATCTATCATTCACGTATCATCTGGTCAGTTGTCACATTTGAATACGAGTTAGTTAGGTGGTACTTGACATTCATCATCCAATAACATAATGTGTGTATATAGTTTATGCTATCAGTAGATTAAACTGCTTCGGCAGACAAATAAATCCGAAATATTGGGTTGCATATTGTCTCCTTCCTAAAACATACTCTCTAGATTGAGTAATTTGTGATTAAATTACAGCTTAACTCTTCTATGTAACCAGTCACAGTTGGGCAGTGGTTCCCATATTTTATCAACCTAATTCCAGCTATCATGAAGAAAGAATACCTTTTACTTTTAATTAGAATGTTTGACAAAAATGTAAATTTTTCTGCATGCGTTTAGCGAACACAATCACTATTGTGTCTATTATCATTTTCCAGTTTCATACGATAATTAACTCTACAATTCTCTTTATTCATATATATACTCCTATTTTTAAAATTGTAGTTTAGATAAATCTTCATCTGTCAAACCGGTTAAATCGAAGAAAACACTGTTCCAACGAACAAGAACCTTTACATTCTCGTAAGTGCGTTTGGGGTATCTTTGTGTTTTGGTGGTGGTAGTTTTTGTTCTTATTAATCGAATTTCACATTTGTTTTATTGTCTGGGCATTTTTTCCTTAGTAAATCAAGAAAGTCAAAAATTATTGTCATACATACAATAAATTCATCAACGGATTAAACTTCATTAAAATTTTAATGGTCCTAACAAGTAAAGAATTATCTTACTAAAATTTATTTTCAGTAACTTGAATTCATTGTATTATTATTATTATCTTACACTACTTCTCCTTCGATTTCAGTGGCCGATGTCGTCGTGAAGTTATTGGAAGACCACTGCTAACCACTAGTTTACCCACTGATATATGGTAAGTTTACAAATGCACAGTTGAATTACCTATCTGAATTTTCAAAACTGAGATATCAGTATGGGGATTCAAATAACTACTACAAAATGGTTTCTGTTTGATAAATTTGGACTTTATTTTATGCTATGTTCCAGCTATCATCCCTAATAGGTAGCCACAAACAAGTGAAATTGATACTGTTAACAAAAGATTGATATTGCCTGATTTTGCAGATTTCGTGAAATTTAAGAGTAAAAGAGACTGGTTTGGCGAAGAGTTCTCTTTTTAGCAAATCGATTTTCAATTCTGGGCATTCAAAAATAAATACTTGCTTTACCAAATCAATGATAGCAATAATCATTTGCTCAACTTGACAACATAGCGGTGAAATAGACAAAAATTTCATTCTTTTTAAGAAACTATGAATGTGGTTGTTAAGAGTTTGAATATTTATCAAGAAAATAGATAACGATTAATAATTGTGAGAATAGAAATAAGTTGGTTGGCAGTAAAAGGTCTATAGAAAAAAATATCAGGGCGTGGTTGGTGACTTTGGAAAATGAGATTAAGAACATGATAAATTAAAAGGTTGAATAAGTTCCTTTTGTATACATAATTTTGGTTTGTGTAGCAGACGCTTCAGGAATTCTGAGGTGGAAGCTAACTATCCTTGTCAGGTTTCTACTTACCTCATAAATAACTTTGAATGTTGAATCTGTTTCGATCTAATCATTTGTGTTCACAAAGTGTTTGATTATGAAACTTCTTACTGATTTGTTCTTGCCTGTTTTCAGTCAAGCTGGACGATGTTCTCGAATTCTGTTGGATAGAATGTATTAGTCATTTTGTGTCAAAGATATATAATGTAATATTTTCAATAACGATTACCTTATCTTTACTTTTTTTTAATGTTTCGTTGATCTAGTATGTGTGCTTATTTTTGATGTAGAAAGGCTTTAATATGACTATTAAATCACTCTGAATTAGGATTATTTAAAAATAACTAAACTCTATAACTGAAAGCTAGTTTACTGCAGTTCATGCTAAACTTATTACATTCAACAGATATTATATATACCACCAGTTTTACGTTATATAACTCTTAATGCTGTGCTTTTCGTAGTTTACAATTCAAAATATAGAAATGTTTTGTTTTATAAATTGAATATGACTGATTAGCAAAGTATATAATTTATAAATATATACATTGTCGAATGTACTCATTTGTATTAAGTTAACTGTTAGTACTCTTTTTAATATATCTGAAAGTATGGTCATAATTTCGAAAAGAAATTTACGCAAATATACATAGAATTATTTATGTCTGTTAACTTATCTTCATTGATTTTATTTGCACTTTACATTCAGTGGAATTTCTGTAGCTGAAGAAAATCTTTCTTTTAATAATCCAACTTCAAGTAATGCATATAGTCTAAGTATGGGTGCTCTCACAAATGGTACTGGTCGTAGTACGAATACACATATTGAAAACAATGTTGAAGATGGTGAATCAACTCAGACTGCTCCAGCTACAACAACTTCAGGATTATTATCAATATCATCAACATCGTTAGGCTATTCACGAGCTCCTGCATTATCAGAGCCTTCAGTAGCACGTAATATCACTAATAATTCAATAGAGGAAAGTATTGAAAATCAAGTCAGTTCACACAATCTCTCAGGTCCGTTTGTTGTTAATTCAAATCAATTGGTTCCACTTTTTACTAATCTACCTAAACATCGTTTCAGTACAGAAGCTAAAAGAAGACAACGTGAAATTTGTGAGTTTTGCTAAAATTGTCTTCCAATTTTTTCTATGTAACTCGAAACTGTCTTTTATATAATAGTCTATAGAGGTCTGTAGGTTGATTTTTTTAATACAAACATTTTTATACGAAAGTGGTTACCAGCGTTGGTTTTCTTTGTGCCCTTGATAAGCTCTTTGAACTTCCGTATGTACGGTTAATCAGCTTACATTTTAGCAATAAATGTTTCTGTTTAGTGTTTTAGGCTTTTTCGAAACGTGTATATTGTTACCTATAAAACTGTTTCCGAAAACACAGCTACAGGTGTTTTTATTGCTCTTAACGTTGGAAAGGTACAGTGTAGAAATTCACTTATCAGTTAAATGCACTTATATTCGATTTGAAAATACAAACTCGATCTTTTTTCTAATCCGAATGTGTATGTGATTAACATATTGACCTTTGGAACTACAGGTGATAAGTGAATGTTGAAGATGCTACAGTTTTCATTGTAAACGATCAAAATTTATTGGGCTAGACTTTCTTTTTTTCCCTTATTTTTGTCACTTTTTATTATGTCGACACTTCGTCATACTTCCACAGAAATTTTAAACATGTAGACAAATGACAGTGGACTTTGTGCGCAAGATTTATATTTTGTTGATCGGTCACTCAGTCAGTTTATAACAGAATTGTTGGTAAGGGGGATAAAAGGAGTACTAAGAAGCGTTGAAAGAATGTAAGAGGTTTTGTCCACTCTATTAAGTGTATGAGGAATTGGAGTAAAGATTATTTTAACATTTAGTCAGTCCGTCTTATAAAACTCTATCGACAACTCCGATATTGTATACACATTCTATCGTCTCTTCTAGCCATAGCTACTCCCAAAGATCAATCTTTTTAAAAATTGTTGATTGAGAGAGACCAAAAAAGTTTAATTACGTAATTTATTAACTGAGTAATCATTACTTCAATGTAAAATAGCAGTACATTGAATGTCAGTCAATAGAATTTACTTTCAATAAATTCAATGCGTTTAAAAATTAATTTCTTCTTAAATGTTGTATTGGGAAATTGGGCATCCTCTTATAAAACCATTTTTAAACTAAGAATAAAAATTCTTCTAAAGTATTTTGATAGTGAACAAAACACAATTTGGTCACTGATATGTATGATTCATTTATACTGTTTATTGTTTTTCTTGTATTTTTTCTATCAAAAACAAAAAATTAGTAAAGCAACAGTCGAAATATGGATTATATCAACAAAATCACTCAGATATATTCGATACTGATGATGAATGTGACAATGATGATACATCATCAGAAGCTGCAGTGGAAGCTCTGAATTCTGCTGCCAAAGCTGGAGAAGCATGGTTAACCAATGAGTTAGGACAGGTAAGGTAAAAATAAAACGTCTAAATATTTGTCGCATCTTTTAATGTGATTCATAAACATTAGTGTTTATTGCACTTGTAATAGTAACTACACGTAAGATTTTGTCTACAATAAACTGTAACTACGAAAATGTGTTTACTGGGCTTAATTCAACACAAAAAGTTCGTACGGTCTAATTATACTTCACTGATTACTTTCAGCTATTTTTAAAAATAATCAGTTTCCATTTAATCAGAGTACAAGTAATATATTATGATAAATTTGACTGAATACTTGAATTGGTTTCTTAAGCCCTTCTAATAACCCCAGACTAACTCCACTCAACTTGAATACGTGAGAAAAAACTCGAAATTCGGGAAGAACGCCTTGCTCCAAGGTTAGTTTATATACAGAAAATTGGGTGTATTTAGCAGAATAGGTAATCATCCAATCAGAAATGTGACACACAACTCTTCACTTCCTAGATGTTTCTGAGAAACTTCTTAGTGGTGATTGGATAGAATGTTTGCCAGCGTTTTTAGGGCCCCTTTATGTTTTTTTACAGGAACTTTCTGGGTCTGCCCAACATAGTTAAATAAATCGAAAAGAATCTGATTTGAGGAATAACACGAATTCATCATAGTTCAAGACTTATTATTAGCTGCAAATGGCATAAAGTTGCATTCAGTTACATTATCATAAAAACTGTTTTTTCCACACGGTGATTAATAAGGGTGAGTTCAAAACGACCAATAAAACACACATAAATATGAATAGGAAACAACATATTTAACATAATGGTGAGGATCGATTTCGGGTATTTATATGTTGGATATAAAGTCATATAAAGAAGGGGATAATATCTGCCAACGAGAGCTCAGGTTATTTACTTTGAGTTCGTTGTTATGTCCTAATTCCTTCTTTATAGAATAAGGTCAATGACATTTTTCTAATTAATATTTCTTCAGTGACCTTTTCTATCATCTGATTGGCTGTTGTCACTTCGAATTTGCTAATTTTGTTGCATCCCCAGGTCATCGAGTGTTGTTATATAAACTGAGTTGTTCTACTTCAATGATCAAAAACAAAGCTTTCTTAGATTTTTAGTGTTGAAGTGCTATTGTGTACCACATTATGTTTAATCGAATCCTCCACTGAACTCATTCGTTTTAGAATTAGTTCAGTCGTTCTGTAATTAGTAGTAACCACAGACTAAATCAAAAATTCGATTCGCAACCATTTTATTCAGATGTAACAATGTCATAGATAATGATAAACAGACAAAATCAAAAACTATATTTTTCAATAAATGTGAGGTAATAAGGCTACGTAGGTAATATAAAATTAAAATTAGCGTCGTGAAACATCAGCGAGATTCGTTTAATTATAGAATACAGCGATTAGTTTATGTAATTTACAAAAGTTAAAACAATATCATTATTTTATCGATGCAAGAAGAGATTTGTCACACCTTCTTTCTGCATACAGAGGTCACGTATAGATTGCTTGATGCCAGTGTCCTCTGCAAAATCAGGTGAAAAATGATTCTAGTATATAACAACTCACAAAAGGAAGACGTTATGAGTTGGGATTAGAATGGTAGAACTTTTAGTAACCATACTGATTAGTACTTATGCAAATAGTTCTTTGATCTAAAATCTCAAGACTGAAAAAATCAAAAACGAAGAATATTTGAGCGAACAATTGTTTTCAATAACTTCATCATCAGGCTCTACAGTTATAAGTCCATAATTATAATATTTTACAAAGGCCAAAAATAAGGCATGCTTTAATGAGTTTGACAATGTTATGTGTTAAAAATGGTGAACGTTTGCATCTGTTACGATATATATATATATACTTCAAAAAAATTGTAATATTTGCAAATTAGAAAGGTCATTCAATAAAGGTCAGTAAATTGTTCAGTCACAATAAGATAATAGTACTATTGCAAAATTGAAAATAATTTTGTCAACTGAGATAATAATAATAATAATGTTGTGTGAATATAATACTGAAAAAATCATAAATCATTTTGAAATCTATACATTTCAACTTTCAGTTAGTCATTTATATGCACTGTAAAACCCTGACACATATTTGCATCAATTCAAGTTGCCACACCATAATGGCACAGCGGGATAATATTATCAGGAAAAATCCCAAGGTATCACAAGTAGTGACAGTATCAATTGTAGTCGAAGGGATTAGATTTCGAAAAAAGGAAAAGGGCGCAAGAAGATTTCAGGAACAGGTTCCAAAGGAAGGAAGAGTATGAATGCACCTGCATGATTGGAAACTATTCTGATCCATGTGACCTCAAAACTCTAACCATTGGTTACGACAACCCTGTCTGCCCTAACCATACAGTCCTCACTAATGAACATGGCTAAGTGCAATCGTTGATGAGTCCATTGGTTACTCCCACGTTTTGCTTTACACATCCCTTGTTGCTCACCGTCCCCAAATGCCCTGGTATTGCCGAGAGTGAGGTGGGCCCTCCCTCCATCTCAAAATGCTCTCACACGGCCACGCGTATACAGCCTCTGCCAGGGAAGTCCTACTCACTGCCTTCTCATGGCGGAGGTGTTGTTTTCGAAAATGAGAGGACGAAAAGCGAATGTCCGGCGCTTTAACCGGATCCCAAACCAATTCAATGGTGCACATGGGCTCCAGCATCCTGAAGGAACAAAGGCGTATGAACCAATCGTTGGTCACCGGCTACCGTGGGATCGCATCTCCTCATGATGCTCCACTGCCTTGTGGATCAGACCTTTAGGTCAAAGGCTCGGGGTGTGGCCCCCTAAGAAAGCCACCTGCTTCGGTCTGGGCACCCGAGTAGTATCACAGCCCACACACACACAAATATGGTGTGGCGCATATATATTTGGTGCCCTCTTGTACCAATATTTATGTGTTCGAATAAATAATAATAAATAATGTTGTTCACCAACCCGCTTTTACACCGGACGATACCATTCATAGGAGCAGGTTGTGATTCAGCATACGTAATCTATTTCTCAGTCACCTTAGTTTTTAAAGATTTACAACCTCGTTAACTGACTCGTCATATTTACCTAGTATCCTATGTTTAACTTCAGAGTTTGTCACTTTGTGGTGCGAACGTTTAGAAAACAATTATAATCAAGTTTTAATTTTACTTGTTTTCCGTTATATTTTCGGCAGCAAACTAATCACTTTCTCATTTCCATTTTAAAAGTCACTCATGTTGATCCCTGTTATGTAATCTTGTTATGTTTTTTATCAATGTTAAGCTTCTTAGTAACTAAATATTGGTAGATTTTGCGTAATACGATACAAGCTATTCGTCATCGCATTTTGAATTCTGCTCAAAACTCCACACTCGCTAACTTAAACTTGATGTATTCGTCAATAAAGTATACTTTTGCCGTATGTGTTAACTAAGGCTTCCTTATTTATAAGTAAGCATTATTATCTCTATTGTTTATTGTGTACTACGTGGCATTATACGATACAATACAACTAATTATTTTGAGTAAGACTTGTGAACAGGATAAATATGATTAAGAGCAAGAGTATCGATGGTAGATTTCTCATTAAATGTCGTTGGATGGATGGCAAATGCCATTTGCAAATTGTTAATGAATCACTAAACCTTGTATACAATATTTTTATTTGCTATACCACTACTATATGTATATTACAAGTTTCTCGATATAATTTTTTCTCAAGTTCAGTCATTATTCTTCCGTTAACTTGCAGTTTTTAATTGTCCTTGTTTTAAAGGAGGGCAAAAAACGAATATCACTTTCACCTGCTAAATCATGGTTCAATTTTTTCCATTCATCAAATACTGAAAAGGATGATAAGCAAACCTCTTCTGTTCAAAGTGAAAATGTTCGTAACGCTAATCATTCATCACTTCTGAATCTAACAAATAATGACACTTCTGTTACAGATATTGATTCTGAGTCTTCTACTGAACCTGTATCTATTTGGCGTTTTGCTGCTGTATCTGCTGGTTTCATGACATGTGCTTCAATTTTTGGTTTAGCACTTATACTTGAAGCTGAAGTGCATTCACCAATCATGGCAACAATTCGTGGTCATCCATGGTTTTTAGATTTTGATTCTCGTTTTTATCGACCTATGCGATCTGCTCTTCTTGGTTTCTGGCGTCGTTAATAATATCTACCTAATATACTTAGCTTATTTGTTTAAGTAGCATATTTGTCTAACCTTGTTTTTTTTCCTTCGTTTATTTGTTGTGGTTTATTTTTTAATAGGATAGTATTTTTTTTGTATAGATTTTTTTCATTTTCCAGCTTAAATGTAAAATGTTTCAAGGTCTATAGTTCAGGTTTACATAATCCACATATTACGTGATATTTGTTGTGCTTTTATCTTTCTTTCCAGTTGTCATTTCTGCTGTTGTCCTTTTTGTTTTTTTCCTTGACTATGATTTTTGACTTGAGTTTTTTCTTTTATCATTATATTCATTTATTTATTGTGTGTTGTTACTATTATTATTCATATTGCTACAACTCACTCATTGTAATGAAATTCATCATTTTCGGTGTTCTTGAATAATATGTCATTGTTGTTTTCATCTACTCGGATAATATCTACATACATATAACGTGTTTTGAATTTTTGCTTTCGAAGTTTTCGATTTCAATGTTGATTTGATGGTGATGATCAGCTTTCGTGGTAATTTCACCCTTTCTAGCATAAAATCAATAAAACTGTATACTGTAAACAAACACCATTTTAAACAGTGCATTTATGGTAGATATGTGCAGACAATGAAAATTCATCAGTAGTATATTGTTCTGTTTTCTCCGTCATTGTCAAATTGCTTATTATTTATCACTGACCTTTTCTTTTTTCATTTCACTATATTTTCATCCATTATTTGTTAAACCCTTTATAGTTTTTATTATAAATTACTGCATTTCACTACAATTTGAATTACTATAAAAATATATATGTGCCTAAATAGTATTATTTATTAGTGTTTGTAAGGGTTTATAATCTTTTTCTAGTTGTTAATATTTAGGAACGGATATATTATCATTGTCTTGTTTTATGAGTTTCTAGATCAAGTACCTCAGTATTAGTTCCTAGATTTACAGTTTGAGGTTACTTTTTTGTATGTTGACTAAGATTTAAATTCAGGATGGTGTATCAGGTGGCTACAAATAGTCGACTAGGAAGCCTGAACTTAATTTTCTCCCTAGCTAGCACGCATCACCAATGTGTACTTATAATCCTGAGGAAACTGACGCTTGTGAAATTGGAAGCTCAGAAATGGAAATCACTAATCTAACTTTAACTGTAACATGTACATAGAAACTGTTAAGATACATTAAGTAACATATGAAAGGTAGAACATAAGCTGACCAGTAAAGTTGTAGTCAGAATGGGGTTGTGGAGATTGTTGAATTTCACTAAAACCATTAATCGATCCAAGTTAGACCAACATTGAGAACTTCGAAGTACTGGGCGTGCTAGTATGGGACCCCTCAGAAGGGCGCATTCACGACTCAGGACTTTCGATCCCGTACGTGGATGCTTTACACGTAGATCGCTAAGTCGGTCCATGATCTCAATGTAATTCAACAATCTTCGCAACCACATACTGACTGTTATCATGCTTTCACTAATAACTGGCTTCAAGAGGAAATTTTAGGAATTCTAGTCAGGATCCGTGACTAGTAGAGTTAATCCGTGTCAGGTGTGAGACAGTTACCCATCGAAGAAAATCGTCGTGGGTTAATTGAAGTTAGAAATTAACACCACTTCACCTCAATTTGTTCTACAGTTTAGGCATCCGCAGGCGAGACTGAAGGTCCTGGGTTCGATTCCTGCATGGAAAGTCGTGAATGCACACTCATGAGGAGTCCCATACTAGGACGTCCAGGTTTTCAATAGTGGTCTAACATCGATCGGTTCATGATTTCAATTCAGTAAAATAGTAATTCGATTGCAGATTTTATAAAGGAAGTGAATGACTGGTACTTCTGTGACAAATTTCATGCCTTTGGTTGCAGTGGTAAAATATAAATGTGATTATCATTCATTCGAAATTGTAGAAAACGTTGTATGGTTTCCTGTGGGCTGTTCTCACTTTTAAGAACATACCAACCCTAATTTCTTGATTTCAATGCGTTTAGTAACTTGAAATCAAATTATTGTTCTCATCATGCTCCCGTAAAGAGCAAAATTTAATGAATATAAGAATATATATACTTCCTACTACAAAACTATAAAGTTAACTATCTTGCTGATGAACTTTGATCAAGACCAAACAGAAACTAAATTTCTCTGTTCACTTTGAACTAAATTTCTTGCGTATGTCATTTAACTAAATCAAAATGTAAGCAGTAAATCGTAATTTAAGACTACTCACATATTTCTACAGGTTTTTTCTTTTAAAATCATTCATAATCCACAAGACCTCTGGTCAACTTGTAATTAAAATTCCGTGTAAATGTGTAGCATATTCGATATCATGGAAGCATTTTATTTACCATATACTGCCCAACAGGTTTGACTTCCTATCATGGGGGTGTTTACATGGCCACACAAACAAAAACTGACTGATTCACCGTTTCATCATCCCAGCTAAACCCAAAACAATAGGTGATTTATCGAAACCCCGCTTTCTAAACCAACGAATTATACTTTGCGTAACTGATTCGCAAAACACCCTCCATGACCTTGGTGTAAGCAGACTTAATATTCGACAGACTGCAGATTATTATAGTCTGGTCGTTATGGCTCAGGAAATGACCTTATGTACACCATCCATGCATCAACAAGATGTCCACTTAAAAAGAATTAAAAGTTCCTGGTTGACACTTTTCATTTCTGTAATACATGTGAAGAATGCACTATCTAAACAATTTTGAACCAGAGCACTTCAAGCAATCTAATATCGCATATGTCCTCTACATTTAATATTACTATCTATATCAGGATAATCATGCCTGTACACTAGCATAAATTCTGTAATTATTATTTTGGGAATGTAATATTCCATAATTTTCATTAAATACTCCGTTGGTATTATATCGAAAAGAGAAGGAAAACTGATTATTCGAAATCACATAGGCTCTGTAAAATATAAACTGTTGTTAACCGGTTCAGTTGTTCAAATAAGTAGTGATTACATAGGATTTAGTTTGAGATTGTAATATACCAAGTGTCATCTGTATATCATATTTTTGATGGCAAGTGCACAGTAAGTCATCTGAATTCCCTACTTGTGACTGTCAAAAAAAAATAAACATTAAGAAATTTAGCAAAGCTGTCAATACTTATTGTTTATACAATTATAAGTCAAGTTAAATTAGCAGATAATCTGACATCTAAGCATATGTAGAAAACGCATTCTTAAGTTTGAAGAAAATGTTATTAAAATTGCTCTTGGGAAGTTATAGGGAATTTATCTCATCCACTTCGTTTACGAGCATATGTTACATGTGGATCACTGAAGAAAACTTCTGTCTTGTTTGTTTCTGAGTGGAAAGAGAGGATTTAACTAGTTAGCATTGTTATAACACTGTTGATTTAATACTAAAATGGAATGAAAATGGTGGTTACATTGTTATATCGTTCACAGAATTGATCCCTTAATTTCAACCTCAAGTCTTTGATTGAGCCAAACAATTGGACAACTGAGTGATTATATCGAGAAATCAAAGTGCTATTTATAGACATTTGTTTAACCAAGATTCTATTATTAATAATTATTTATCGATTAATATATTAGTAATTATGTATGAAATTTAAAGTCATAAATCATTCACCGATGATCTTTCACTTTTTGTCTGTCATATTCTGTACGAACTGCGATCAAGTGGTGCAAAAACTAAACATAGATCAAGGGCTTTTGTCCAATTATCTAGCATCAGTACATGTTGTGTCACATAGAAAACATCTGCATTTCGTAGCTTGATCGATAGAATTCTGTTTTGTCCCAGTATAGGCCTGTTTAGCAATGCTCATCCACGACGCAACCATCGGGGATATGTCCCATGGACCTTCGGATCACTTAGCTGGCATCCAATGGTTTACATATCCAACTTCAAATAGTTCATGATATTTCTCAATAATCTTTCACAATCTTCATTGTTTGACTGCCTTAACCCGGATACGGTTGAATTTCACCGGTCACAGCTTCCTCTCAAAATTAGTCACTAGTAAGCACATGACGATTATCTGTACGTTGGCTTGCAAAGTTTTCTAGCTGTTAATGAGATGACAAACAAACTTAAGTTATACAACCATTACAAATCACACAAAAAAACCCCGGACAACTGTTTTGTCCTAGTATGGAACTTTACAGTAATCTATATCCACAAAGCACGGATTCGAAAAGCTCGTTTGGCTTTTACCAACTTACGTCACCTATGGCGAAGGCGAGATATCCGTCTATCAATATACTATCAGTATACTGCGCGGCAGTCCGTTCTATTTTGATTTACGGCAGCGAAACATGGCCATTAAGAGTAGAAGACACCCGTAAGCTATTAGTATTTGACCACAGATGCCTTAGAAATATTGCTGGCGTCTGCTGGGATCACCGGGTAAGTAATAGTGGGGTTAGACACAGGGTATTAGGGAGTGATGGTAAATCAGTTGATGAGGTTGTAAATCTTCGTCGACTGAGATGGTTGAGCCACGTGTTACATATGCCTGAACACCGATTACCGCGACGTGCAATGCTAACCGGTGTTAGGGAGGGTTGAAAGAACGTTAGGGGCGGTTAAACCAAAACACGGCATCAGTGCTTGAAGACATTAACTTCTAGTCTGAGCCATGTTGGGAGATCCAGACTACTTGGTTGGGGTCCGCGTGACTATCGTAACCAGTGGTTGGAGACTGTGGGTGACATGGCTCAGAGTCGATCACAATGGCGTCGGTATATACACTCTCTGTCTTCCCTTAAACTAAGAGATCAAAATCGCTTCATATCTTTCTTTCTATGAATCGATTCTTTCTTCCTGTACTATATCCTTATTGCAATCTTTCTTTTATATATTACCACCTCTGAATTAACTACTTTTACGAATCCGGTGTCTATCTTGTTGTGTTAATGAGGTGTGGCAACTTGAACCGATGCATATATGTGCCTGGTGGTATGTTGTAGCTGACTGACTGACTGTATCCACAACCCCATAAAGTATCAATATTAGTTACTAGTTAGTAACCATTACATCTAAGCTTATAGCAAATTGGTTTTTATAACTTATTTATAATATTCATTAACCTGATGATAATTCATCCCATAATCTTGTTAACTATTATCAATAAAAAATTAAATGTGCTTTCAGGTTTTCCATGAAGGTCTAGCTTCTCTACAAAACCCATCTGATATTAATCAACATATGCTCACTATTGACTGGCTTCACGAGGTATATCATGGAGTTCTAGTGAGAATTAGTGACAAGTGGAGTACAACCAGGTCTGTTATGAGATAGTAACTCACTGATGACAGTGATGAATAGGTCACTCAATTTCGTGGATTAGTTGAAGTTAGACATCAACACCGTTGGATGCCGGCTCAGTGGTTAAATGCTCGCGCGCGAAACCAGTAGGTCCTGGGTTCGAATCTCGCAGTAGCGAGGTCATGGTTGCGCACTGCTGAGGAGTCCTACAATAGAACGAAACGGCCGTCCAGTGTTTCTAGGTTTTCCATGGTGGTCTAGCTTAAGTTACAAAGAACATAGTAAAAGAAGAAGAGGAAAAGAAAAGAATTTTATTTTAAAATTATGTTTAATTTTTTTTGTTTAAAAATTCTAATCCATAAAATATTACCTAAAGTTACATGAGATTAATTAAAGTAAAAGAAAAATTAAAGAGAATAATAATTTCTATTTCTACTTTACTACTTAAATGTAAAATAAAAGTGTATTTAATCTTGGTTTATTTATTTATTTATATTAGGAAATATGACAATGAATAATATTATCAGAATAATTAAAACTGTAATTATAAAAGTACCAATGAATAGAAATGCAAAAACTCGTTTTCTTTTTATATAATTCTTTAATATATCACATAATTTATAATGAATTGGTAATTCATTTATAGTAGGTAAAATATGTATTTTATTTTGTCCAAATGATGTACTTAGATTTAATGAATTTATACTACTTAATGTACTTTTTTTATTAAAAGTTTGTAAACGATTACTTAATTGACTTTTACGTGGATGTATAGTTGATGTTGATTCTTGTAAAGATAAACGTTGTTCTATATCAACAGGAAATGCCAATACATTCCATGGTGTAACACAAACTAATGACTAGAAGAAATGAATTAATAAAAAAGTAGAAAAAAAAGTAACTGGAAAAAAAACAAACAAATTTTATTTGATAACATTTAATAGAATGAATTGTTTTGTCAGTTTAGGTGTTGTGGAGATTGTTAAGTTTTTGATTGAAATCATGAGTCAATTGAAGCTAGACCACCATGGAAAACCTGGAAGCATTGGATGGCCGTTTCGTTCTATTGTGGGACTCCTCAGCAGTGACTAGCTTCGTGAGAAAATCCTCGGAGTTCTGCTGAGAAGCCGTGACCAGTGGAGCTAATCCGCCTCGGGCAGAAACAGGTGTCTACCTCAGTACAATGTAAGATGTTCGTGCAATTTCGTGGATTGGTTAGACATTAACACTATTGGATGCCTGCTCAGTGGTCTAGGTGGTTAAGCGCCTGACGCGAGACTGATAGGTCCTGGGTTCGAATCTCACAGCGGACGGGATCGTGGATGCACACTGCTGAGGCGTCTCATACTAGGATGAAACGGCCATCCAGTTATTCCAGGTTTTCCATGGTGGTCTAGCTTCAATTGACTCGTCATTTCAATCAATAATTGTTTTGTATTGTAACATTCGATATCATTTAGGTATCATTACTAAGGTTTGACTTGATAATTTCGAATAAATTGAGCATTAGGGTAGATTTTTACAAATAAATTAGTATATTTGTAATATCCTAATGAGTAGAAAATAGTACCTATTTAAATTTGGATTAATTTTGATTTGGTTATTTATTCTCTGAAGAAGTGAGTCACGAAATGTCGGAAAATTTAATTTTTCTATTTATTGGGATATTACAAATATATTAATTTATTTATATCCGGTATCATGATTATCTTGATATATAATTTTTTTCTAAAGCAATAGACTCGGTTTGAAACATTTGGATTTGTAGCTTCTTTTATCGCCAACTGAATTTATTTAGTGAACTAATGAGAATCATAAATTGCTAGGTATATATTTCACTCTATATGGAATTTCGTAGCCCTAAGGGGGGTTGAATGTAGGAAATTTAGTCCTTGTGATGAGCACTTCACTTTCAGACCACTGAGTTAAACTCAAGTAAGTTTTATTTCTAACTTCAATCAATTCTTAATATTGAATAAATAACGACCATTGCTACTGGTTACATCTAGCTTACTCCCGATACGGCTGAGCTCTATCAGTCATGCCTTCTCAATAGAATCCTAGGAATTACCTCCCAAAGTTAGTCTTCGACTAGACATAGAAGAAACTGCAAAAATGCTCCACGTTCTATTTAGGAGGATTTGGGAGGAAGAACAAGTGCCGACAGACTGGAAAGGAGGATAAGTCATCGAGATACAAAACGAAATAGACCTGAGCACATGTGAAAACTACAGAGATATCACAGTACTATCGGTACCAGGAAAAGTTTTCAACAGAGGGTTGACGAATCAGCTGAAAGATTCAGTAGACACACGGCTTCGAGATCAACAGGTCGAATTCTGTAAGTATCGGTCGTGCACAGACCAAATCGTAACACTATGGATCATCGTTTAACAATCGAATGAATGGAACTCGTCACTATACACCAATTTTCTTGAAGGTGTTTGACAGTGTGGATAGAAGAATTTTATGGAACCTTCTTCGGCAATATGGTGTACCTGGAAAAATCATCAACATCATACGGAATTCACACGATGGACTACATTGCAAATTGGTTCATGGATGACAGCTGACAGACGCATTCCAAGTAAGGACCGGCTGCTTACTCTTACCCTTTCTCTTTTTTCTGATGGTCTACTGGATCATGAAGGCCTCTACATCTGAAGGGAAGCACGGAATAAAATGGACAGGTTGGATGCAACTAGACGATTTGGACTTCGCAGACGACCTGGTCTTTCTATCCCATACACAAGAACAAATGCAGCTGAAGTCAGCCAGTAAAGCAGAAGTCTCTGCAGCTTTAAATATAAATATACATAAGGGAAAAGGAAGATCCTCAAATACAACATGGAGAACACCAACCTATCCACACTTGATGGAGAAGCTCTAAAAGAGGTGGAGCAGTTAACCGCTTATTATTTGTTTTTGTAGTTCAAAATCTCTACTGTGAATTCATTTTTTGTATCATTTATTTCTACTAAACTTAAATATGAATCGACACATGTGGGTTTTTTAATGTGTCGAAACGACAGTTTTATATAATGTATTATTAGGATTAATTAGTTGACTTATTGAAACTTTAACTGAATCGTTTCTGTAGTAACTTAACTATCACTGTTTTCTAAGATGTTTGAATATATATATATATATATATATATATATATATATATATATATATATATATATATATATATATATATATATATATATATATATATATATGGTCTGTACTTATGATAATCTCTTTATTATGTACCATAAATTTTGCTATGGGAAAAACCTTTAAGGAAAATAAACATGGTTACAAATGTAGTTTCAGTGATATTCTCATCTATGATATATTTAATACCCATAATTTAATTAATTCTTATAATTGTTAATAATATGTTAAGCTCAGAAAATGCTGCAAATTCTGGTCGTTTTGTTCGAGGTTTACAGTATTCACCTTCAACATAAGTTGTAAAACTTTTATAGTAGCGTGTAAATAGATAATAAGGTTAGCATCCAAGATTATTCAATAGAAACATAAGTTAGAAAGTTTATATAGATTGGATGGAATTTAACTATCAGTAGAATCCAGGATGTATGTTTGGTTTTATTTAAAAAAAGATTTGTCACACTTCAAATGATCCAGAAGTTTAAGCTGACTATTGAAGTAAATCTTGATCATTAAATCAGTTGATAGTTCTTCACCAACTTTATGAAGTTCATAAATTTTTGTTTATTTGATTATTTCAAATCTATCTAATCAAGTCAAAGGAATGTTTATAAACATTCTAAGCCTTGTAGTTATGTCGATAGATTGCATAGATTATATTTTATGAAGATATCATTTAATGATGTAATCGATTGATTAAGACTGATCAGATCATTTATTGATAATCTCTTTGCAGTTATTTCATGTTATAACTAGCAGTCAAAATCTTGAATACTTAAACATTTACTGAACTCCACTGATTATACTTGAGTATTCTTAGTTGACAAACATTTATCATAAAAACACGTTGAATAAAATAAATAGTCTTACTCAACGAAAATTTCAATGAAAAAACAACAACAAAACAAACATACCGAAATATCATGTAATGCAGTTTGTAAAGTACAATATTCATTTTTCAGTATATCAATTTCAGAGAGAGTTGAATTCCCTGTGATCTTTTGATCATTATCATCATTATCATCAACATTATTATTGTCTATATTAGTTTTATCAGCTAATAACAATGAAATATCATTTTGATCTATTCCTAATTCTAATGATTTAGTATATCCAGTATTAATTAATGAACTAATATTAGTTTGTAATAATTTATTAGATGCTAATATCCATGATGAATCATTTTGTATTACAACTTCATGATTGATAAATTCATGGTTCTCAGATTTTTTATCTTCTACCTGATCATCATTTTTATTTATATTAGTAGTATTAGAATTAAATTGTAAATTTATTGAAGGAAACAATGTTATTAAATGAAGTGTTTTTAATAATGCTCTCATATGATATTCAATATAAGTTGTAAATACAGAAAATAATTGATCAGATTGTTCACTTGTTATATTGGTTGATAGACCAACATTAGCATTACGCCAACATTTAATTAATTGATATTGAGTATTTTGTAATTCATACATCATATATCTTTGTAAATTAATAAGATTTTTTCTTACTAATGAACAATCTAATTCTGTACCAAGTATTGTACATACATTACGAAATTCAGCTGATATAGTATTCAGTAATTTGAATTGTTTTAAAAATTCTTCATAATCATTTGTTTCATTATTCATTGGTGAAACGGTTGTCATATTACTGTATTAATTATTACAATATAATACTTGACAATATTATTAAATTATAAAGTACAGTGATGAAACGAATAGAAAAAAAAAGCAAACAAAATGAAATGATTGAAATATTTATATGGATTTACAAAATAGGGCGTTGCTTCTTCATCATCATCATCATCATCATCATCATCCTCATCATCACCATCATCAACATTATCATCATAAATATGTTTAACTAAAGTTATAAATAATAAAGGAAATAATATCATGAAACTATACAGAAACACATTTATTTGTCATTGAAACAAATTGAACATACATTTAAATTTTCTTTCTTTTGTTCTTGAAGTTGATCTTCTTTTGTTTGTTTGTTGTTTTATTCACATGTACTTTTTCTTTACTTTATATGTAAAGTGTTCTATTGAAAATGGGAAATGTAATTTCCTTTGAGTAGAAAAAAATCAAATACTGTTGTATGTCTTGTATTGTTTTTTAAAGTGAATTAAATACATTAGAGTTAATCAGTTCAATATGATTGGTTCTTGTTAATTATAGGCTAATTTTACAAAGTTTTTCATTTTATAAACTGAACAGTATACTACTTATTTTGTAGTCGTCAAATGAAAAATAGATTTTTAATCAAAGTAATAGTTTCTATTTAATTGTAACATAAAATGTGAAGAGAATAGAAGTACTTCATTTCATTATTACTATTAATATTATTATTATTACCATTATTACTATACATCCTGTAACGATTGCTTTTTTTAAGTGTAAATGGTAAAATGAAGCGAAGTAAAACGAACTATTAAAGAATCTAATCAAGAGTTGATGAACATTAATGATAATTAATTATAAAAAGACCCATATTTTTTATAAGAAAACAGTTTAATAATAGCCAGTAGTGGAATACAAGAAATGTATTTAATCCTATTTGGGACTCGTCAGCTGGGTGAACAATTATCACAGTGTTGATATTCACACTGATCGCCAATATCGAACTTTGCATAGAGATTCTTGCAATACAATAGCCATAATCAGTCAATCCACTCAGGGTGCATATGTAACAAAAAGAAACTAATCACTTATAGTCCTTAATATCAAAAAACGTGAAAGATTCACACCTTCACAAGTGAAATATTGATTTTTGTCTTTATTCATTGTTTTGACACTCACTAAAACACATGGGTAACAAAATGGTAACTTCATTGATTTAGTATAATATATAATATTCTTCACTATTTAGTGGTGATTCACATGAATTTCACTTTCACACAATTATTTTCAAATTTCGTGGATTTTTAAGAAAAATTCAGTTCAACAACATTCGCGTCAAAGACATTAGAAATATAACAGTGATTAATCGATGGGATTGTATGGTCATTATTCTGTATCATAAAAATCGGATGTCAGAATATATATCAACATAAAAGAGAAGACCATCTATCTTTGCTTATAATACTTGTGACTTAAGGCAATATCTAGGTAATCCGCACAGGATTCACACATGCCAATAAGAGACTGATCAGTTGCAGTCCTAAACATCATTGGGAAGATTCAAACAACCAACACAAAATGAGTTATAACTTCACCTCATTGCATAAGGTAGTGACTATCAGATCTCAGTAGCTAATTGGATAATGCGAACAGTACTCGGTTGGAGTCCCAGAGTGAACATCAATTCTGGGATGCAGGTATATCCAGCTGACGAGTCCCGAATAGGACGAAACGTGAGTCCTGGATTCCACTGCTAGCTACCATCCATCTTTGCCTATAAGGAAACCTAAAGTTTGAAATAACCATGAAGCTGTTGCTCATCAGTGATATGCACTCTATTTACTTACTGATAATAACAAGTCAAGATGAAATTAAAACCCAAGAAGCACTGGACAACGGGGCGGACAACATCACAAAAGTTTAATACGGCCTTTCTTCAGCATACTGACAAACTCAACAAATTCGAAATAGTCCTCAGCAGTAAGTTCCAGGCCTTTCATGATCTACTCAATGGAGAAGGAACTACTATGGAGAGCAACTGGATGGGTATCAAAGAGGCAATCACTTCAACATCTCATGAGGTTCTGGGCCACAAGAAGCACCATCACAAGGAATGGATCACTGTTGATACACTGGATAAGATTCAAGAAAGGAGGAACAAGAAAGCAGCAATCAATACCAGTCGAACAAGAGCAGAAAAAGCGAAGGCACAGGTTCAATACACAGAAGTATACAAGCAAGTGAAGAGGAGCATAAGAACCGACAAACGTAAATATGTGGAAGATTTACCAATGACGGAGGAAAAGGCTGCAAAAGAAGGAAACATGAGACAACTGTATGACACGACAAAGAAACTCTTTGGAAATCACCGTAAACCAGAACGACCAGTGAAAAGCAAGGAAGGCGAGGTAATCACCAATATTGAAGAACAACGAAACAGGTGGGTAGAACATTTCAAAAAACTATTGAATCGACCAGCCCCACTGAACCCACCCAATATCGAAGCAGCACCCACGGACCTCCCAATCAATGTTGGCCCACCAACAATTGAAGAAATCAGCATGGCCATCAGACAAATCAAGAGTGGCAAAGCAGCAGGGCCAGACAACATTCCAGCAGAGGCACTGAAAGCAGACGTAGCGGAAAGTGCACATTCTCTTCAATATAATTTGGGATGAGTAACAAGTACCAACGGACTGGAACAATCAATTGAATGGAATTCATCACTCTACATCAACTTCATTGACTACGAAAGAGCATTTGATAGCGTGAACAGAACAACACTATGGAAACTTCTCAGATATCACGGCGTGCCTCAGAAGATAGTCAATATAATACCGATTGCTATGATAGGTTAAACTGCAAAATCGTGCATGGAGGATAATTGACAGACTCGTTCGAGGTAAAGACCAGTGTCAGGTAGGGTTGCCTACTCTCACCCTTCCTCTTTCTCCTGGTGATCGACTGGATCATGAAGACGTCAACATCTGAAGGGAAACACGGGATACAGTGGACATCTAGGATGCAGCTGGACGATCTGGACTTCTCAGATGATCTGGCCCTCCTATCGCAATCGCAACAACAAATGCAGGAGAAGACGACCAGTGTAGCAGCAGCCTCAGCAGCAGTATGTCTCAATATACACAAAGGGAAAAGCAAGATTCTCCGATACAACACAGCATGCACCAACCCAATCACACTTGACGTAGAAGATTTGGAAGATGTAAGAAATCAGGAAAAAGAGCTGGAAGTGGATAGGACACACATCTAAGAAAGCACCCAACCACGTCACAAGGCGAGCCCTCACATGCAATCCTCAAGGCCAAAGGCGAAGAGGAAGACCAAAGAACACATTACTTCGAGAAATAGAGACAGACATGAGAAAAAGAACAAAAATAGGATAGAACTGGAAAGGAAGGCCCAGAACGGAGTGGGTTGTAGAATGCTGGTCGGCAGCCTATACTCCATTGGGAGTAACAGGAGTAACTTAATGTAATAAAAATGATAATAACAACAGAAATACGATAAAACGATAAAATTATACTGTGATTAGTTAAAATAATTTAATTCACTAGTTTAAAAATTTAATCTTTTTCATATGATTATTCTAATATTTATAACTTTGATAAAGTAAGATCATTGTTCAATTTTCCATAAATAATCACTCCTTAAAATTTATAATCAGTAGTTTAGTTGAACTAAAATATTCAGTGAGTAATTATTTTTCTATTCCTAATGAAATATCTTGATGTCACTGTCTACTCCAATATAGTGTTGGGTGACATAAGAGCATATTGTAGAAGTACTACAAGTGAATATGTCAGAACATAATATTATTTCATGAGGTTATTGATTGAAGGCCAGAGTCATGTCGGCAAAAGAAAACTTCCCGGTGGTTACCCATTCAATACTTCCGATCAATGGTTGGAGGTGTTGGGTGATATGGTCCTAAACCAATCACAGTGGGGCAGTCGATGTCATTCTCCATACCCTTTTTAAATATTAAGTAGGTCATCATTCCTAAACTTTTTTATCGAAGCCATTTGTTCCGCTTGAAATTTGTTTCTGATCTTTGACTTTCTATTGCTCTCGATAATACTTTTTCCTCCTTTACTTCCTTAAGTGTTAATTCACTGTCTGTCGCTGTGTTCGTGTGAGGTATAGTATTTCGAACAGACATATATTGAGCTCTTATCCTGGATCAATAATTATTGACTTGTTAACAAAGTACTGAGTTCAAATCAAAAAATGTAGCGCAACTGACATGAAAGCATTGAATATAGATCGTGAAATAAGTAGTGAAGAACTTTCCTAATTAGTTACAATGAAAAGTATTCGTTTTCTCTAATAAGTTGAAACTACTCAATATTAAGGCTGAGAATATTAGTTCAAAATGAACAAGATAATTTAATTAATGCTAGAAAATTAAACTTTGATCAGACTAAAAAAATACATCAAAGATATTATTACATTAACACTAACATATGTACATGATGTGATAGAAGACAAAGGTAATAACTAGCTAGAAAAAACCCTTTAAACAATTCTCATATATTTAGTTCATAACATTGGATACTAGAAAAAGACAATTTTAATTATCAGGGCGTATTAAGTTACTAAGGTAACAGAATAATATAAAAATTCAAAAGAAATTATTTTGAAAAATCGAATTTTTGTTTTACTCTTTAAAATAAGTAAATTTAAACACAATTGCAAACAATTAAACTATACACATATTTGCATTTGAAAATGTAACGTGTAACTCGATAATGAATACAAAGTTGAATATAATTGATTTACCCCATGTCAATCTTCAATTCTGGTCAGTTGAATAATTAAAAAAAAGAAAACAATTTTTTCCTCGTTTTGATAATTATTCAGTTTCCTATTATTTCGAAAGTAGTAGTTGAAATTAACCCAGTTGGATATTATGCATATTCGTGTTAAATTTTTTTTAAATATTTGTATAGGTATTTAAAATATAAAAGTAATGGAAATGTTTACATTTAGTGTATATGATC